ATTTTGATGAGAAGTTGCCAACGCGCTACTGCGGAATTTCGATACAATTTAGTCAAACATTTGATATTGCCTTCTTCACTGAAACCGAGAGAAGAGACATCGTTGCAGGAATCGAGAAAAATCTTAAGAAATTGATCCGCAGCCAAGAATTATAAATTGTCGATGTGATGCTACCGAAGTTTTAACACTGAAATCGAGAAGAAATCGTTGCGAAAATCGAGAAAAAACATATTTAAATTTTGATCCGGAGCCGGGATATGAGAAATTGCCGATGCGCTACTGCAGAACTTGGATACAATTTAGTCAACTATTTGATACTACCTATTTACTGAAACCGAGAAGAAATCGTTGCGGAGATCGAGAAAAAAAAAATCTTAATTATAATAAAAGGGTTATTCCACAGCCAGGATTTGAACCTGGATTTCAAACAAGAGAAATTGCCGATGCGCTACTGCGGAACTTCGAACGACGTTCGTCAATTATCTGATCTTGTCTTTACCCAAATCGAGAAGAAATCATTGCCGAAACCGAGAAAGATTTTAAAAGATTGACCCGCAGCCAAGATTTCAAAGGCTAGAAATTGTCAATGTGGTACCATGCAAGTGTGACGCTGAAATCAAGAAGAAAATCGTTGCGGAAATCGAGAAAAATAATATCGAAATTTCCATCCGCAGCCAGGATTTTAACCTGGATTTCAAAGACGAGAAATTGCCAATGCGCGAAACTGCCAATGCGATACTACCGGAGTTCGACACTCAAATCGAGAAGAAACAAAATCGTTGCGGAAAAATCGAGAAAAAAAATCTTTCAATTTTGATGAGAAGTTGCCAACGCGCTACTGCGGAATTTCGATACAATTTAGTCAAACATTTGATATTGCCTTCTTCACTGAAACCGAGAGAAGAGACATCGTTACAGGAATCGAGAAAAATCTTAAGAAATTGATCCGCAGCCAAGAATTATAAATTGTCGATGTGATGCTACCGAAGTTTTAACACTGAAATCGAGAAGAAATCGTTGCGAAAATCGAGAAAAAACATATTTAAATTTTGATCCGCTGCCAGGATTTCAAAGATGTGAAATTTCCGGGCCGATGAAATCGTTGCGGAAATCGAGAAAAAAAATCCTTCGATTTCGATCCGGAGCCGGGATATGAGAAATTGCCGATGCGCTACTGCAGAACATCAAACGACGTTCGTCAATTATTTGATCTTGTCTTTACCCAAATCGAGAAAAAATCATTGCCGAAATCGAGAAAAATAATCTGCCAAGACTTGAACCTGGATTTCAAACAAAAGAAATTTCCAATGTGCTACTGCAAAACTTCAAACAAAGTTTGTCAATTATTTGATGTTGTCTTTACTCAAATCGAGAAAAAATCATTGCCGAAATCGAGAAAAATTTTAAATGATTGACCCGGAGCCAAGATTTTAAAGACTAGAAATTGTCAATGTGGTACCATGGAAGTTTAACACTGAAATCGATAAGAAAATCTTAATTAAATTAGAAGGATAATTCCGCAGCTAGGATTTGAACTTGAATTTCAAACAAGAGAAATTTTCGATGTGCTACTGCGGAACTTTAAACAATGTTCGTTAATTGCGAATGTACTATTGCAAAATTTTGATACAATTGTCTTTACTGAAATCGAGAAAAAATGTTTAAAGGATTATCTGCAGCCAAGAATTAAACCTGGATTTCAAATATGAGATATAGCCAATGCACTATGGAATTTTAATTTAATTTAGTTAATTATTTGATACTCTCTTGACTGAAATCGATAAAAAATTGTTGTAAAAATCGAGAAAAATTTTAAAAGATTGAAACACAGGTAGGATTTTAATTTGGATTTCAAAGATTAGAAATTTGACGCTACTATGTAAATGTAACACAATTTAGTTAATTGATACTTGATTTCAAAGATGAGAAGATATTTGATACTTGTCTTAAGTATAATTGAGAGCCGCCAGGATTTGAACCTAGATTTCAAAACTTAGAAATTGCTAGTGGAATTTTGATTCATATTAGTTAATTATTTGATACCGTCTTTACTGAAATCAAGAAAAAATCGTTGCAGAAATCGAAAAAAAATCAAACAAAATTGATCCATGTCGAAGATTAGAAATGCTAAAAAATCAAACAAAATTGATCCACAACCAAGATTAGAAATTGTCAAGTTTAACACTGAAATCGAGAAAAAAAAATCTTTAAAATTTGATCCGCATGGATTTTAATCAACTTTAGTTCATTATTTGATATTATTTTTATTGAAATCGAGAAAAAAATCATTGCAGAAATTGAGAAAAAACTCTTAAAAAATTGATCCAAGAATTTAAAGATTAGAAATTGTAGAATTTGTCAATGTGAACAGAAATCGAGAAAAAATTATTGCAGAAATCGAGAAAAAAACTCCTAGAATTTGAACCTAGATTTTAAATATGAGAAATAGTCAACGTGCTACTGCTCAATTTTGATAAATTTAGTTAATTATTTGATACTGTATTTTAAGAAAAAATTGTTGCAGAAAAATTATAAAAAATGGATCTGCAGCCAAAATTTCAAAAATTAAAAATTGTCAATATGATACTATGGAAGTTTAACATTGAAATTGAGAAAAATAAAAAATGGTTGTGGAAATCGAGAAAAATCTTAAAAGATTGATCCGGGGAATTTTTGATAGAAAAATCTTAAAAGATTGATGGGGAATTTTGATAAATTTAGTTAATTATTTGATAATGTATTTACTGAAATCCAAATATATATATATATGCAGAAATTGAAAAAAATCTTTAAAAATTGATCTACTGCCAAGATAATAAAAATTGTCAATGTGATACTAAGGAAGTTTAACATTGAAATCGAGAAAAAAAATCGTTGCCAAAATCGAGAAAAATCTTAAAAGATTGATCTGCCGCCAAGAATTTAAAGATTAGAAATTATCAATGTATTTGATACTGTAATTACTGAAATCCGCAAAAAAAAAATAGTTGCGGAAATGGAGAAAAATCTTAAAATTTGATCTTCAGCCAAGATTTCAAAGATTAAAAATTGTCAATGTGATACTAAGGAAGTTTAACATATAAATAGTTCACGGGCATGAGTCTCATAGACTGACCATAGTAGTGGCAAACCCTGGGTAAGAAAAAATTCTTAATATATTTTATATATTTAAGGTTAGCTCGGGTCAACACGAGGGTTTTGCCCACTAACTTGAAAATCGAATCGATTCAGTTCGAGTTCAGAAAAATGAACCCAACCCTACCCGAAATGCTAATCCAATCCAACCCAACCCTTATAATTCGGGTTGGGTTGGTTCGAGTTGTCGACACAGATTGACCAAAGTAGTGGCAAACCCTAGATAAGAAAAAATTCTTAATATATTTTATATATTTAAGTTTAGCTCAGGTCAACACGAGGGTTTTGCCCACTAACCTGAAAAATTGAATCAATTCAGTTTGGGTTCAGAAAAATGAACCCAACCCTACCCGAAATGCTAATCCAACCCAACCCAACCCTTATAGTTCGGGTTGGGTTGGTCCGAGTTGTCGACACAGATTGACCAAAGTAGTGGCAAACCCTAGATAAGAAAAAATTCTTAATATATTTTTATATTTAAGTTTAGCTCGGGTCAACACGAGGGTTTTGCCCACTAACCTGAAAATTGAATCGATTTAGTTCGGGTTCAGAAAAATGAACCCAACCCTACCTGAAATGCTAATCCAACCCAACCCAACCCTTATAGTTTGGGTTGGGTTGGTCCGAGTTGTCGACACAGATTGACCAAAGTAGTGGCAAACCCTGGATAAGAAAAAATTCTTAATATATTTTATATATTTAAGTTTAGCTCGGGTCAACACGAGGGTTTTGCCCACTAACCTGAAAATCGAATCGATTCAGTTCGGGTTTAGAAAAATGAACCCAACCCTACCCGAAATGCTAATCCAACCCAACCCAACCCTTATAGTTTGGGTTGGGTTGGTCCGAGTTGTCGACACAGATTGACCAAAGTAGTGGCAAACCCTGGATAAGAAAAAATTCTTAATATATTTTATATATTTAAGTTTAGCTCGGATCAACACGAGGGTTTTGCCTACTAACCTGAAAATCGAATCGATTCAGTTCGGGTTTAGAAAAATGAACCCAACCCTACCCGAAATGCTAATCCAACCCAACCCAACCCTTATAGTTTGGGTTGGGTTGGTCCGAGTTGTCGACACAGATTGACCAAAGTAGTGGCAAACCCTCCCTTATAGTTTGGGTTGGGTTGGTCCGAGTTGTCGACACAGATTGACCAAAGTAGTGGCAAACCCTAGATAAGAAAAAATTCTTAATATATTTTATATATTTAAGTTTAAGCTCGGGTCAACACGAGGGTTTTGCCCACTAACCTGAAAATCGAATCGATTCAGTTCGGGTTTAGAAAAATGAACCCAACCCTACCCGAAATGCTAATCCAACCCAACCCAACCCTTATAGTTTGGGTTGGGTTGGTCCGAGTTGTCGACACAGATTGACCAAAGTAGTGGCAAACCCTGGATAAGAAAAAATTCTTAATATATTTTATATATTTAAGTTTAGCTCGGGTCAACACGAGGGTTTTGCCCACTAACCTGAAAATCGAATCGATTCAGTTCGGGTTTAGAAAAATGAACCCAACCCTACCCGAAATCTAATCCAACCCAACCCAACCCTTATAGTTTGGGTTGGGTTGGTCCGAGTTGTCGACACAGATTGACCAAAGTAGTGCCAAACCCTGGATAAGAAAAAATTCTTAATATATTTTATATATTTAAGTTTAGCTCGGGTCAACATGAGGGTTTTGCCCACTAACTCGAAAATCGAATCGATTCAGTTCGGGTTCAGAAAAATGAACCCAACCCTATCTGAAACTACTAATCCAACCCAACCCTTATAGTTCGGGTTGGGTTGGTCCGAGTTGTCGGGTTGTCAAATTGAATCTACACCCCTGTTATTATCTACTGAAATTAAATTAAATTGGATAAGGTGGAATGAGTTAACAAAATCACATTACAATGATACAATTACCAACAAATTTCATCTTGATTATTTCAATTACACTCAAAATCAATTGAATTCATCCCAAATGGAAGCGACCCAATTGTAAATTCGATGTGAATTTCAATGGGTAATCTCCAAAATCCTCAATTTCAGAAGCTATAATCCCTTTTGAAAATCCTCTCACTCATCGTTTTCAATCCCTTTTTGAATCCTCCATTTTCGTCCGCTGCAACGTTTTCTTGAGCTCCTCCTTCAATGGCGTCCTCCTCGAATGCCGGATGGCTCAGAATGTTGGTCATCAACTGCGTCCCTCTCAAAGCGTTAGTCAATGGCAGATGCCCTTCCGGCGTCTCCTCCGTCAGCTCCCAAATGAACTCCGTTGGAAATGCTCTGTAATTGTACTGCTCAATTTCTGTATCCAGTTTCTTCATCCATCCAAGTTTCATGAACAATTTTGTGAAATCTCTGTTCACTTTCTCGAAAACCCGTTTCTGTACGCTATACCCAAATTTCCCATCGCTGTATTTCTGCCAGAGATCGTCGATGGCTTTCAGATTGTCGGAGGAAACGAATTGAACTTCGGAGAAGTAGACGTAGCCTCGTTTTTGTGCAGCGTCGCCGGCGAGGGCGATTAAAAGCCGGCGGGTCTCCTCGTCTGCTTGCCGGAAGTTTTTGGCTGCGAGGTGGCGCTCGAGCTCGTCGAAGGAGACAGCAGAGGAGGTGTCTGAGGAGAGAGAGAAGGAACTGGCGGCTGCAGCGGAGAGAGAGGAAGTGGCAGCGACAGCGGCAGTGGCAGTGGGCGTAGAGGTTGATTTGAGGAGGAGAGAGGAGGAGGAGAAGGGATTTGGGGAGAGGTTAGGACGGTGGGGACGGCTGAGTGTGTGGCGGAGAGATGGAAGAGAGTGGGAATGTTAAGGATAGTTGACCGTTCACTACAAGGCAATTACATTACGGGTTACCATATTTGCCCTCTTATTAAAGGCAAATATATTGCATTCATTTATTATTCTTTCCTTTTATTACTATTTCCATAATATTTGTAATTTATCATATTTCTGTATCTTGAAAATGATTATAAATAAGAGGACTCTCACCCCCATTTAGGTGTGGTGATTCAGCAAACATTCACATGGTATCAGAGCCCTTTCGGTTTAACAACCCTGATCCTTTCTTCTCTATGGCTTCCGAATCTTCTTATCATCTTCTTCCTTTCAATACTCTAATCCATATGATCACCATCAAACTTTCTTCCTCCAATTATCTTCTTTGGAAAAGCCAACTTCTCCCTCTCCTTGAGAGTCAAGACATGCTGGGCTATGTCGATGGAACTATGGTTCCACCACCTCGCTTTGAACCAGAAACCTCTTCAACACTCAACCCCAAATATTTGGCATGGAGAGCAGCCGATCAACGACTTCTCTGTCTCCTGCTCTCCTCTCTCACTGAGGAAGCCATGGCTGTTGTCGTTGGTCTCCCTACTGCACGTGATGTTTGGCTTGCGTTGGAAACTACGTTCAGCCATCAGTCGAAAGCTCGTGAACTGAGACTCAAGGATGACTTGCAGTTGATGAAACGTGGCACCAAACCTGTTGCTGAGTATGCCCGTGCCTTCAAAAAAAATTTGTGACCAACTTCATGCCATTGGCAGACCGGTCGAGGACATTGATAAAGTGCACTGGTTCCTTCGTGGACTCGACACCGAATTTTCAGCTTTTTCTACTGCTCAGATGGCTCTTACCTCTATCCCCTGTTTTGCAGATTTAGTCTCTAAAGCTGAAAGTTTTGAGTTGTTTCAGCTCTCCCTTGAGTCCTCTAACTCCACTCCTACAGCATTCACAGTCACTAATCGTGGTCGCACCCATGGAAGCCACCCTGCTTCCTTTACCAACCAGCGAGGTCGTTCTTATTCTCACAAAAACAACTCTTCTAATCGAGGACGAACCCACTCAAGTCAAGGTCGTCGACCACCTCACTGCCAAATATGCCGCAAAGAGGGCCATTATGCTGACCGCTGCAACCAACGGTATGTTCGACCTGATTCTTCTCATGCTCACCTTGCTGAAACCTTTAACACGTCATGTTCTATTGCTGGACCCGATACTGCTGATTGGTTTCTGGACACTGGAGCTTCGGCCCATATGACTGCCGACCAATCTATTTTGGATCAGTCTAAAAATTACACGGGTAAGGACTCTGTGATTGTAGGAAACGGTGCATCCCTACCCATTACCCACACCGGTACTCTTTCTCCTGTTCCAAATATTCACTTGTTAGATGTCTTGGTTGTCCCTCACCTCACTAAAAATCTTCTTTCCATAAGTAAATTAACGTCTGATTTTCCTCTCTCCGTTACATTTACTAATAATCTTATTACTATCCAGAATCGTCAAACAGGAAGGGTGGTGGCAACCGGTAAAAGAGATGGAGGGCTATATGTGCTGGAGCGCGGCAACTCTGCTTTTATTTCAACCCTTAGAAACAAATCTTTACGTGCTTCATATGATTTATGGCATGCTCGTCTAGGTCATGTGAATCATTCTGTTATTTCTTTTTTAAATAGAAAAGGTCATCTTTCTCTTACGTCTTTATTGCCTTCTCCATCATTATGTAATACCTGTCAGCTTGCGAAAAGCCATCGATTGCCTTATTCCTGCAATGAACGTAGGTCGTCTCATGTGTTAGATCTTATTCATTGTGATCTTTGGGGTCCTTCTCCCGTCAAATCAAATTCGGGTTTCCTTTATTATGTTATTTTTATTGATGATTATTCTCAATTCACTTGGTTTTACCCTTTAAAATTTAAATCTGATTTTTTTGATATTTTTCTTCAATTTCAAAAATTTGTGGAAATCAATATTCTTCTCGTATCAAGGTATTTCAAAGCGATGGCGGTAACGAATTTACTAGTACTTGTTTCAAAACTCATTTACGTAATTCTAGCATCCACCATCAACTCTCTTGTCCATATACACCTGCTCAAAATGGTCGTGCTGAGAGAAAACATCGTCATGGGACTGAGACTGGCTTGGCCCTTCTCTTTCACTCTCATCTTTCTTCTCGTTTTTTGGTTGACGCCTTCAGCACTGCAGCTTATATTATCAACCGGTTGCCTACTCCACTTCTTGGAGGTAAGTCACCCTTTGAACTCCTTTATGGCTACACTCCACATTATGACAATTTTCATCCCTTTGGTTGTCGTGTTTATCCTTATTTGCGTGATTATATGCCTAACAAGCTTTCTCCCCGCAGCATTCCTTGTATTTTTTTGGGTTATAGTCCTGTTCATAAAGGGTTTCGCTGTCTTGATCCGGCCACCACTAAGCTATATATCACCTGTCCTGCTCAATTTGATGAAACCCATTTTCCTGCTATCCCTAGCTCTCAGACCCAACCTCTTTCCTCTATTCCTATTTCAAATTTCTTAGAACCACATTTTCATCATATTGATTCATCCCCCCTACCACTTCATCACCGCAAACTCCTCGATCCAGTTCATCCCCGTGTGATATTTGTTCTGACCTTGTAGATGAGTCTGTGCAGGTTGATACTTCTCTTGCAGGTTCCACTTTGCCACCCTCGACTTCTAATTCGACCTCTATTGAACCTCCTGTTGATTTCTCTTCTTTGGGCACTCATCCTATGATCACACGAGCCAAAGCTGGTATATTCAAGACTCGTCATCCAGCAAATCTTGGTATTTTGGGCTCATCTGGACTTCTTTCTGCTCTTCTTGCATCCACTGAGCCAAAAGGATTCAAATCTGCGGCTAAGAATCCTGCTTGGGTGGCTGCCATGGATGAAGAAATTCGAGCATTACAACAAAATGATACTTGGACTTTGGTTCCTCGCCCTGCCAACACCAACATCGTGGGCTCTAAATGGGTGTTTCGTATTAAATATTTGCATGATGGATCTGTCGAGCGTTTCAAGGCTCGTCTTGTTGCCAAAGGTTATACTCAGGTTCCTGGTCTTGACTACACTGACACTTTCAGTCCGGTTGTCAAAGCTACCACTGTCCGTGTTGTGCTTTCTATTGCAGTCACAAATAAATGGCCTCTTCGACAACTTGATGTCAAGAATGCTTTTCTCAATGGAACTCTTATTGAACGTGTTCATATGGAACAACCTCCTGGGTATATTGGTCTTCGATTTCCCACTCATGTTTGTCTATTAAAGAAAGCCCTCTATGGTTTAAAGCAAGCTCCTCGTGCTTGGTTTCAGCGTTTTAGCTCATTTCTTCTCACACTTGGGTTTTCTTGCAGTCGCGCTGACACGTCTCTTTTTGTCTTTCATCAGCAATCTAACATTATCTATTTGCTTCTTTATGTTGATGACATTATTGTTACCGGCAACAACTCATCTCTTATTGACAGCTTTACTCGCAAGCTTCATTCTGAGTTTGCTACCAAAGATTTGGGTTCTCTCAGTTACTTTCTTGGTCTTGAAGCTTCACCCACTCCTGATGGTCTCTTTATTAGTCAGTTAAAATATGCTCGAGATATTCTTACTCGTGCTCAGTTGCTCGATAGCAAACCAGTTCACACTCCCATGGTTGTTTCTCAACACCTGACTGTTGATGGTTCTTCTTTCTCTGATCCTACTCTCTACAAATCTCTTGTTGGCGCCCTTCAGTACTTGACTATTACGCGTCCAGATATTGCCTATGCTGTCAATTCTGTCAGTCAATTCTTGCATGCCCCTACTGCAGATCACTTTCTTGCTGTCAAACGTATTCTTCGCTATGTCAAAGGAACACTCCACTTTGGTCTTACCTTTCGTTCATCCACTGTTCCTAGTACGCTAGTCGCTTATTCGGATGCTGACTGGGCTGGTTGTCCCGATACTCGTCGTTCTACATCCGGCTATTCTATTTATCTTGGTAACAATCTGGTTTCTTGGAGTGCCAAAAAGCAACCTACTGTCTCACGCTCCAGCTGTGAATCTGAGTATCGTGCTCTTGCCACAACCGCTGCTGAACTTCTTTGGGTTACGCATCTTTTGCATGACCTCAAGCTCCCTATTTCAAAGCAGCCCTTACTCTTATGTGACAACAAAAGTGCTATTTTTTTGAGCTCTAATCCCGTTTCTCACAAGCGGGCCAAACATGTTGAACTAGATTATCATTTCCTTCGAGAACTTGTTATCGCTAGCAAACTTCGCACACAATATGTACCCTCTCATCTCCAAGTTGCTGACATCTTCACAAAGAGTATTTCTCGACCTCTCTTTGAATTTTTCAGATCCAAGCTTTACGTTCGTTCAAATCCGACGCTCAGCTTGCGGGGGGGTGTTAAGGATAGTTGACCGTTCACTATAAGGCAAATATCTAGATATTTGCCTTACATTACGGGTTACCATATTTGCCCTCTTATTAAAGGCAAATATATTGCATTCATTTATTATTCTTTCATTTTATTACTATTTCCATAATATTTGTAATTTACTATATTTCTGTATCCTGAAAATGATTATAAATAAGAGAACTCTCACCTCCATTTAAGTGTGGTGATTCAGCAAACATTCACAGGAAGCTGCCATGGGGGAGAGACAGTATGAAAACGGGAAGAGAGGTTTGGGGGGTTCTGAGAGATAAGGTGTGGGTGGAAGCGGAAAGGGCACAGATCACACCGTCAAAAAGGGCCTTTGATTGGTTAGTTGAGGGTGAGGTTAGATCTCTCCCTCTCTCCAACATTTAATAATTTTTGTCTGTATTATGTTCTTTGTATTCTTCATCAACCTTGAGTGTTTGTTGTTGGTGATCCTACCAACTAGTATGATTTGTGAAGATCCAAAGCACAAAGATTAGAATAGAGAAGTTTGATGGATCAAATTTCGATTTTTGAAAGATGTAGAAGATAATCAATACTAAAAATATCTTCACAAACTCTTATTTGAGATGAAGCTGGATTTCATACTAACATAGTAGTGAAAAATCAAAGATTGATAGACTCTAGGGTTGATCCGGTTGACACTGCCAAAAATGTGTGTTCAACATTGTCAAGGAGAAGACAATGTTAGATCAATTGAAGGCCCGGTCGAATATGAACAAAAAAAAAAAAGTCGCCATCTATAAACAAATTATATTTGATGTGTAGGTTGTTCAATAGTATGAAAATGATATGTTGCAAATCATATAAATGAATTCAATATGACTATAAGTTAATAGAGTTACATGAATTAATTTTGATGATAAAATTAAGGACTTGATTTTGATGTTATCTTTATTCGAGTTGTGTAATACTATTGGTGTTGTGATCACAAGTTCCCATGGATCTAAGAACTAGATGTTTGATGAAATTCAAGATAAAGTTCTCAGTAGAAGTATTTACAAATTAAAAATTTGAGATTCATCGAGCAATGCTCTTAGTGTTGACCTGGGGAAGAAGTAAATCGAAGTGCTCAAGCAAATATGCTGATCAAAATCAAAGAATTGGGAAAATCTTCAAACATGCCATAAGTTATGTGTTAGAATTGTGAAGAAAAATGTCACTTTTTGATATATTGTACAAAATAAAAGAATAAATAAAAGCACAAATATAGGGACGATGATTCTATAACCAAGTAGAAAACACTAAGGATGCTCTAATACTTAGTATGGATAGTTCGGTTGAATTCTAAATTTTGGATTCAGCTTGTCTTTTCATTTATTAGGTTCATCGATTACCTAAGCATGAAAAACATATTTGATTCAGCCATACACATTTATTAGGGAGATATTCCTATAGATCACCTAATGAACGAAAATTATAAATTATAAATCATAAATCGTACATTAATGCAAGATCAATGGAGAGATAACATCTATCAATCACATAAAGCACATATCACAATATCTCATTCATTTTTATTGTAGTAGAAAGCATTAAAATAGGCCTACTTCTAAATTTCTCAATCTTAGGGCATTTTTGTAAAAATGATTGTTATACCCTAAGTTGAGATTTTTTAGAAGCTAGTTTTTTTTAAATGTATTATGCAAAGCTAGAAAGAGAATATGCATGATTAGAATACGACTTGCGCAATATGAATGAGCATGTTGTAAGAAATTACCAAAACATCCTTATAATGAGATTTGCGATTTATGCTATTTCATATGCTTTTTGATGTGTTAGAAAGGAGGACGAGTTATTGTCATCTATGCTCTCGTCATTTGATGGATGTACCTCATTGTTGAGCTTGTTTGTTTGTTTGTTTGCATGAATATTTTAGTTTATGTTTTCCGTACTTTAGGTGATTGATATATTATCTCCCTAATAAGCTTGCTCGCGTGTTTAGAATATGTGCACCATGTTCTAGGTGATCGATAAGATTATCTCCCTAGCAAAGCATCACAAGAGAACCAAACTAAGTTTGAGGTGCTACAGTTAGAGGGGTTTACATATTAACTCAGGTCAATGGGTTTCCAGTAAACCTTACACCCTAGGATCATGAACGATCAGAGGTTTAGACTTGTGTGAACCTAGAGATTGGTTAAGTATGGAGAAGCTAACTCTGAATGTCTTAGAAATGAGGGATGAGATTTAAACCACCTAGATGCCCATAGAATTTAGTAGACCTCCATGACAAAGATAGCTCTCAAAGTCGTTAGGAGTATGTATAGTCATCAATTTGATGGAGCCGTTAGAGTCTCTCCTACCTTTTTCACTCTAATACCTGTACTATTGAGTTCCACTCTAGTACCTGTACCATTGAGCCAGACATGGGGTCGGTTAGGATTGTATGACCTTATATAGCTTAGTTGGAATATCTTAGTTGGAATATCTTAGTCTTTTGGGTGGATATGGACCATGCCGACAATGAAGATCGTTCCTCTAGGGGACGTGGATTACGCGGTAGTGAAAATCTTTCATATGGGGGGCGTGGATCACGCAGGTAGTCCTTGGAGCTTACACGCAAGGGGTCGCACCCCTAACTTTGAATGACTATATGGTGTTATAGGGAGTTTGCCAGCTAACCTCCCATAGATGTTGAGCAAGCTAGAACTCACTAAATTGTCTTGACCGAACGAAGAGTTCTATGAGGTAACACCTTGACCCAAGACACTAGTTTCATGTTGCTTAGGCAAATCAAGCTACCTAAGTAAAAAAAGAAAAGAGCACTTTAACCAAGGATGGGACTTGTTGTTCGGCCGATTCGCGACGCTAGAAAAGAGCGAACCACCTCTTTTGAACCAAAGGTAGGTCCGTGAGCCGTTAAAGTACTACTTGAAACTTTGAGACACCCAAATTATCACATAACAGCAAAAACTAGGTTAAAACGTCTTAGAACCAATAGTAAAGCTCATGAGTTCTTATTAGGTTAAGGATGCAATGAGAGCTTACAACTAGGTTGTTTACGGAGTATTTTTATACTCACCAATTTCTCCTTTCTTTTTCAAGTGTTCGTAGGCTGTTGGTCGAGGTTGAGGAGAGTTCAAGGGCTTTGCGGTTACAAATGGGGTCATTCGAGGACTTCAATTTGATTTTATATTTTAAGTCATTTATATTTCATTTTGTAAGGGTAGATACCTCTCCACATTTGTAAGAAATTTGAAAAGCATGGTTTTATAATTAAATTTTATTTTATTTTTAATTTTTCGCTGTTGTATTTATTTAATTTGATTTTTCCTTTTTACTTTACTTTTTCTTTTATTTTCTTTCATCTTCTTCTTACTTCAAACCCTAATCTCCTTTTTCTTTCTCTTTCCTGTTGCTTTTTCTTTTTCTTTTTCTCTTCTTCCTTTCCTATATGCTTCTGTCCACAGGGGAAATGACCATTATGTTCCTCCATTAACTTGGACAAAGTTTTTAATTTTTTTTCTCACTATTTTGTATTTTATTTTTCGTAAGCTTGTGAGACTAATTCAATTTCTATTATTTTTTAAGTTAAAAAATTAAAAGATTACCTACCTATTGGGGCGTTAAAACAAATGACAATATATCCATGTATTCAATCTTTTGGCGTGAAACTGTCAGAAAAGTTCACTGAAGTAGACAACAGAATGATAATCATTGCCATGACTTGATTTTTGAGGTTTAGAAACTCGCAACGAAAAAAAAATAACAAAAGAAAAAAAAAATAAATAACAAAAATACATTAGGGTTTAAATCAAATTAAGACAAAAACAACACAATTAAAAAAATCAATTACAAGATGGGGTTATTCAAACTTAATTACAAACGGGGAAACTTGTTAGGGATTAATGCAAATCAAAATACAAAATACTTGAAATACAAGACAAACTGATATTCCGGAACAATTTCTTCTATGATTGCGCAGCTCTCGAATGCTCTCCTACCTCAACCGACACTTGTGAACACCTAAAAAAGAAGGAGGGAAAGGGGTGAATATAAAAATATACTTATTAAGCAGCTTACTTATAGGCTTTCATCGTATCCATAATTTGGTAGATTCCGAAGGACTTTTCTCCAAGTACTAGAAGGTTCAAACCTAGTCTCTAGTGCTATATGAGCATTTGAAGTGGCTCAATGTTTTGAGAAATTTTATATTCTAAGTCTTACCCTCTTTGTGTCTGTAAAAGTCCTACAACCTTTTTGTTCTTTGACCTCAGTAGCTTGCTATACGTAGTGAATGATTAGTGTCCTGGGTTGAGGCACTACCTCATAAATTTGGATGAGACAACATGGTGGTTTCTAGTATGAACATCATCCAAAGGATATTGGCTGACACATCCCTCGAGATCATAAAGACCTAAGTTTTGGGGAATGAGGTTATGTGACGTGGTCCCCTGCTCCCATCTCAATTATGGGTTTACAGCATAGTGGCTTTATTAAGGAGACCATTGACATTTCCACAAAGCTAAAGCTCACACTACCCTAACTGACCTGAGCATAGCTTAACACTATTGTTACTAAAGTGGAAAGGGTAGTGGAGGGCTTGAAGATACCGTTCACACTATTTATAGCCAGGAGAGTTACCTTGGTCATTCTTGGGTATCGTGGAGGTCTACTATATTCTTAAGGGTGTCCAGGTAGTTTAGATCTCATCTCTCATTTCCAGGAAGCTCGGGGTTAGCTCCTTGAGCCTAATCCAATCTTTAGTTGTCAATAGATCTTGCCCTCTGATTGTCGCTCACGATCCTGAGTTGCTCAGTCTAATGGAAACGTATTCACCTATGTCAGTGTCAATGTGTAAACCATACTAGTTGTATCATCCTAATCTTATCTAGGTTCTCTAGTGCATGCTTGTTTGGGAGATAAATCTACTGATCACCTAAAACACGAGATAACATAATCTAAACATCATCTTGTTCTTTGCTTGGAATTGTGGAGGTCTTCTGGGATACCTAAGGTAGATAGGTGACTCAACGTGGACTCTGGGCTCCAGGAACTCTATACTCTAACTCCTCGAGTCTTTCTTTGTCTAGAAACACTAGGGTGTGGACTCTCTGACTGTTGCTCATGATCCTAAGGTCATTGTCTAGCCAACCTAACAGTATCATCCTAGTCTTATCTTTGTCATGTAAATTCACTGTACATGGAGAACAAACATTCAATCACCTAGAGCTAATCATTTTAAAACATGCATACATAAAAGTTCAATGAGAACATAACCTCCATCGATAACCCGAAACACATAACAAAATATCTCAACCTCTGTTCTAA